GCGACCAGCTTTGGGCTGCGGGTGAGTGCGCCTGGACGGCTTGAGAGAGCCCTTTCATCTGCGAGCAGCCTTGAACCTCAGGCGTCCACAAGTAAAAGTTGCTTTAGCTGTAAGTAAAAGTCCCAGGAGTCTCGCTCCGAGCGGCCTCAGAAGAGTCGCGTCCCGCTGAGGGTCACTGAGCCGCGCGCTGCCGCTTGCCCTCCAGCATCCGCTGCATCCGAGCAAACCGGCAAGGGAAGGCCTCGGGCTGGGAGAAAGGCTAACCTCTGTGTGAGCCCTGACAAAGACATTCGAATTCAGGAAGTGCCATAGAGAAGCGGCACATGTGCAAGGTGATCTGCCCCGGCGCTGGAGGCTCGGGAAATCTCTTCTTCGTAACCAATAACGAGTGGAAGTGGAGGGCTGGAAAATCAAAGCTGAATTGTGTGTGGGCATCTGGCTACAAAAGGATAGAGCTAATGGAAATCTCCTCCAGCCGGACGGAGAAATCAGAGCAAGGCCTTTGCTTCTGTCAACAGAGGAAAATTGAAGGGACAAGGCTGCTACTTACAGATGATCATCGCCATGGAAACAGCGTCCCGGTGTCAACAGTTGGTGGAGCAGGATGCGGGAAGCAAGGGTGACCCTCCGTCTGTCAGTGGCGTGGTGGGACTAAGGACCCGTTCCCTACACTGTCAGCGCTTGTAGGATTTTTAAATATTGGTCAGGAGCGACCAAGGGCACGACTCTGACACAAGGGTTTGGGGCAGGCTGCCTGAGCTACATTGAGAGGGAAAGGCAGACAAAACCAGGACCCCGATTATTCCAAATATTCCAGCTCTGTCAGTTTCTCCAACTTACCTGCTTCATGGGGAAGATGTCACCATTGTTACTCAAAAAACCAAAAGACGGGCTCTTTGCTGTCAAAATGAGGCAAAAGAGCAGCACCCAGGGTACAGGGAACGGCTTCCCCACGTGGTGTACGTACACGTGTATGCACAAGCCGTGTTGTACCTACAAGATACAGCAGAGCAAGAGCTTTGGAACAGAAACAGGAAGTGAACGTGGCAAAGAAGAACGTCTGCAAGCACTCAGAAAGGGTGAAACGATCAAATATAAATGTGGGAAGGTATTTTAGGGACAAGTTTTGCTTAGGGTGGCGGAAACCGCAGAGAGGGAAGTGGTCAGGGGTTTAGCTGTTGGTGCTGTTCGGTCTAGAGAGAAGGGGAAACAGCAATGCAGGCTCGAGGTGATGGGGAGGAGGAAGATGCCTGCAAGACTGGAGGGCTGAGGATCTCCAGCAGCAGCAGAAGGCAGAAATAGCAAAAGCATTGCAAGAAACCTGAACAAATCACATTTTTCTGTGTGCGAGTTTCCTTTGGCTTCTGAGCCGCCTTTTTGCTGCTAATCTAGATCATTTTTCATTCTGTTGCTCATGATGGTCAGAGAAAGTCCTGACTGTGCTAATGAACGAGGAGCCACTGGGCTAATATTGGAAGGTCAGTTTTATTGTCTTTTCTTCAAACAGGAAGAAAGAAGAAAGGTGTGAGCCCACGCTCATAAAAAGAGGTTGGAGGCATTTCCACTAGGAAAATATTGGAGCAGTTCACAGATTTCATTTTAAATTATAAGGAAATGTGGGAGGAGTCTGAAGAGCAATCTAGATTATAATACTTCTGAGAATTTCTGTCAAGGTTCAATCTTCTCTTTTTTTTTCTTCTTTTTTTTTTTTCATTCCCACGTTATGGCTGTGTTTAATCAGACATAGTTCTGCAGTGGTTTCACTTTTTGAATCACTAAGAAACTGGAAGAGTGCGTGTATGTGTGTGTGTGCTTTTTGTTAACCTTCCTTTCATAATGCACTTTCTTCTGTATAGAAATCTTCTTTCCTGCT